AAGATACAAAAATAAGATACAAATATAATAACGAAAGTGGAGAGAGAAAAATAACATTGCAAACGTTCAAGGCAGAAAAGATAACCCAGTGTTTATTTACAGTAGCATTGTTATCAAATGCATACCTCAAATACCTAAAAACCACATAAATAAATAAAATAAATGATTTGTATTAAAGATTAAGCATAATCACTTGAAATATACACGTTTTGATAAATAAATACTTTTACAGCCTAACCTATAAGTATATAATAAGTTGTTAASTGATGTCATGTCAGCAACAACAACAATAACAGAGTCTGTTATAGAATAAAGATTTGACACGGGTTGCTTGAGTAGCTCATTTTGGTATCATAAATAGCTTTCTTGTTGATGATGACAACAACAACCCATATTAAGTTTGCAAAGTCTCATGAGCCACAAATCGGTAAAGTTACGATTTCATCAAAGACAGTACGATATAATATGACATTGCTAAATTGAACTCAAGCTTAATGTAGCAACAAGTGAGTAAACAAATATGCTCAGCACATTTTACCACAAAGAAAAAACTTATCAGCGATTTTATTCATGTGGTTTGTTATTAATACTTATGARCATGAAATAGAAAAAAAGTATTATTAAATCATTGCTGCTTCAAACAACAGATCGTGCTGATAATTTATATATTTATWTGTAACTAAATATAAKACATTCAGTGCGTAATGTATGTACGTTATACAAAATATGAGTACGTAGGCATACGTGTGTACGTGTCCGCAAATTTTAATCGCATGTAAATGACTGAACTTAATCGTGCGATAAGATTTCTTTACGCTCTTGTTAATCGCTTTTCACTTTTGTGCTAAACTCTTCCACTTTCAGCATCACTTTTACAGAATCTAGTGGTACTGAGTACTTGACATTTCATTGCTGTGTGCATTTATTAGAGAACGGAAAAGAATATACATACATATATGTATATACGTGTTTGTTTGCTATTGCTTTACGTTCACGGATTTTATCAAATTTAACAAGGAGCATTAGTGCTTGATGAAATCCCGTATTGCTTTACATATTCAGTTTCTTTCTAATCCGCACTCAAAAACAAACAATGTTTTTTTTTCAAGCAGTCGCGAGTGCGGAAAGCATTTTTTTCAACTTTTCTCAGTCTCAGATATTTCGATATTGTGCTAGATATTTCGTTTGTTTTTTTGGTTTCAGATTGCTAGGAGATTTGAAATCGTGGGTATAGATAGATATCTAATAATAAGGATTTCCACTGTGAACTAAGGTCTATTGWRCCCTCTTCWATATCAAAAAATTTCAGTCGTCACTCAAATCATTTGTACATGGTTGCACACTGAGGGGCGGCTCAGCCTCTCTATATACCGCTTTAGGCCYTACGATCATAGTATAAAATCTAATCATACCTGGCTTGAAAATCCAGGATCWACGGGCTAGGCTCTGGTGTGTTGATAGTGTTGATTCCATATTCCTATTTCAACGTAAGTTTGACTCTAAGGAGAGGCCTAGGAATATGACCTCTTTAGACACCTCCAACCACCTACCAAAGCGTTAGGAGCCTCTAGCCGGGAAGGGATCTACGCTTTGTAAAGGGACGAACGTTGTTTTTGACGGCTTGATATATACCCCTACCGTATAGCACCATCCATTTGCTAGCCTTAAGCCCTTTTGAACAAGGTCGCAGAGGGTATTCTCAAATTTACTTCTTGCCTTTACGAAAATGTCATCGGCGTACTCCTGGCATATAATCCAATTATTTGGAAGTCCCATAGTAGGGGGATAGATCTCTACGCTGTGAGCAGCCTCTCGTAGTACCAAAACACTGTGAGGGAGGACATAGTGGTTTCAGCTATTCCAGTACGCAGAACAGCATCTATCCATCTTTATACTGGAAAGCCCACATTCCTTTTCTGCAGTGCCTTGATGACGCTTGCGTGGGTCGCATCATTGAAATCACCTTCGCTGTCAAGAAAGAGGAATGTCGCAATTGTAGGGATGGGAGAGTGCCAAGCATTTGAGACCCTCCACTTTATTTTTATTTTTTATTTTATTTTTAACTTTTTAATTTTTGCCGTATTCTTTTAAGATCAATAAAGAACTAATAAAAATATGGTAAAAAAATATTATTTGTCATCTTTTATGACACTTAAAGATCACCTTAAATTCAAGTGYAACCAAGTAAATCCGTTCCCACGAGAGTCGGGTCTACGAAAAATGGAACGGACCCGGATATTTATCCGGCTAAGGATTGTCAACTCGGCAAACTTTCTGCCGTTACAACAACAACAACATCACCTTAAATTCATACCTCCCAAAAACCATAAAAAAAAATTTTGGATTTAACTAAGGTCCAGAAATATGCATTCATTTAAGTAAATATTTTATTTCCTCTTCCTTTTGCAGATTTACCAAAATTTGGAGAGCCATTGCAAAATGTCACGGTACCAGTGGGGCGAGAAGCGGTACTGCAATGTDTTGTCGATAATCTGCAAACCTACAAGGTAAGTTGTTATAAAAAAGTATTCATTTTAAAATATACATACAGAGATATGTAAGAATCAGTAGTCAGGAAGTAGATAAAAAAATATAATAACAATTTCTTCTACACAAAATAATGGTCAATTATTCTAACAACAAAGCAAAAGCCAGTAAATTTTCATTAGTTAAGAATCAGATAACAAATAAAAAAGACAGTGTAAAGAGCAATTGAGCAAAGAATGGCTGATGATTTATGGGCACCATAAAACTACATACTCAACAGATTACACACTAAAATGCACAATATTTACCACACACTTCAGAGTGGATACTCACGCACATTGAAAACAAAAATTGCTGATTGTTGAGCGGACTCGAACATTTTACAAGTAAATTACTATGCATCAATACCACCATATATGTATGTAACCGTGTGTGCACATTTTGCCTCACTATACATACTTATATAAATACTTTCGGCACCTGATTTAACACATGCCCAAAGTAAGTATGTAGTGTTGATGTGATAACTTTTGACCGTTTACTTCTCAGAATGCAACCGTTCTCTCTCCCCAATAAGAAGTCTATTACACCAACGAAAATTTTCAATGAAGTTATAGTCAACTTTTAGGCGTTTAAAAATGTCGTAYTGATATACGTATATACCTTACATTTATTGAGTCTCTTCCTACCTACCTTCTGTTCTGCATAAATATTTTTAAAGATTAATAAAACATAGCTGCAACAGGACACATTCGTTTCTGAAAGTACATGTTTATGTATATATGTAAAACTTGCGATGATATTGTTCCTTCCCAGTCTAATACACAGTATTACAATGTTTTTCACATGGTCACTATTGCCAAACTTTACGCCTAAGTGTGTGCTACAAGGTTATCTCAACCTTATAATAAATAACAACAAATCATAATCACTGTTATTACAATTATTACGAATATTTTCTTATGCAAATGGACCCTTTGGCTGCGCAAGTTTAAATAGGTCACTATAATATTAGGTTATTCAAAAAGGCCTGCGGTATTTTCGCTAGTTGGCGGTGAGAGCGCGTAGTTCTAGTTTTATTAGTCGCATCGGGTCGTGCTATACCTTTTTGGAAAGCTCATTTCACGCGCTAACACCTNTTATCCTGAAGCAGCGGTTGCTAAGCAACTAGTTAGATACTGTGGAAAGAGAAGTCTTATTTTATGAATTAAGCAATGGTGCCATACTCTATCGAACGCCAAGAATACGGAAAAGAAAACAGCTTTACAAATGTGCTTTTCTTCCCTGCCATCTTCTATTACGCTTGTTATTCGACGAGCTTGATCTAATGTGAAATGTAGAGATCTAAACCCAAATTGATGAATTGGTATAAAGCTATTTTCACTTCAGCTTTAAATAGCTTCGACAAAATAGGCAACAGTGAGATTGGACGATATGACGAGGCCTCAAGTGCGCTTTTCCCAGATTTATGCACCATAAAGGTTTCAAATACCTACCATGATAAAGGGACGTATCTGGGAGCTTTGCTAATCCTAATTAGCGAATAATTCAATTTTTTTTGTATGTATTCATTACCCATGTAGAATTGGTTTTGAGGTTATAACATTAAAAAATTTGTATGCCATTATTTTCTCTACAATAGCTCCCAGAAGACGTTTTTTCTTAGACGGTCACACTACATGTGCCCTAAACACTAAGCTCTTTTTGACCCAATAATAGTGCACAAATAATACCAAATAATTATACGTTTGCAAATCGATAACAATATGCTTGGTGTATGTCTGTGTTTACATATGATTTCAAACGAATTCGACCGCTGAAAGTAAGCCATCCATCTTAATGAACTTACTTTACGCTGTTATTGCCTTTAACTCCTAAGAAAGGCACTCACGCTCTACCTTAGCTGATGTAGGACTCAGAACGGCCACAAGGAATCTGATGTAGGTATACTAAGATTTATAAATACACTTATATTTATATTCATCAATTTATGATAGGCATGAATGTAAGTATTTATGTATTTATATGCAAACACTACGAAATACTGGCTAATAAAACATTCAACTATTAAACTAAAAGTAAACAAAGAAATTTTACATGAATTTTCTTCTTTTTTTCCTTTTCTTTCCTTACCAACCTACACATATGCTTTCACATATTCACATGTGGCCAATGTCTTCGGGAACACCATGGAAAATTCATCACAACCGCTTGCATGGATAAATAAACAAATCGGCACCCGCCGCTCACCAATACGCACTTGTACAAATGAAAATACGCAAATACAAATAAACAAAAACAAACTAATTACCGAACGTGCATATGAATGCGTACGTCTTGCGGCCTATGTACTATTTGCTAATATGAAAATGAATGGGTTGCGTCGAATGGGTTGACACGTCTCGATTTNGCATACATATTTTTGAAGATTAATAAAACATAGCTGCAATAGGAAACATTCGTTTCTGAAATATATGTTTATGTGTATACGTAARACTTGTGTTGATATTGTTGTTATCAATTTCCTAGTCTAATATATGGCCACAGTATTACAATGTTTTTCACACCACCTGCTGCTGCGCAAGTGTGGGTAACTATAATGGATTTCCTCAACACAATTTGTAATTATTTCGTTCGACTAGTTTCAAACATTTTTAGTCGCATATTTTTCGGCTATTAAATAAGAGGAATAGCTGAACAACTGTATATGGGAAGGGTACATTCCTATTTTTTTATTATTTTTATTTTTTTATAGTAGTAGGAATCATCGAAAGCCACCCTGCGGAACTTTAATCCACTAAATATAACCTAATCCCATCTCATTTCTCGACCTCGTAATTACTGGACTAAGTATTAAGAAATTATGGCATCAAGTCTCCTCTATTGTACGAACTGGCTGACGCCTAATCTGTTGCAGATATCTCAATCATATCATAATTCGATCTGCCGCTTCGCTGACAGCTTTCCATTTTTTAGTGGAGTCACAAATTTTCCAGATCATATAAAATTTCTTATATTTGGAAACCGAGGGCAATGATATAGTACATGCTTAACGTCTTTTATAGACTCTGTATACGTGTGACAATATGAACTATAGTCAATATGCTATTTGTATGGGTAGGTTCTAAGTCACTTATGGGCACAGAGTATTTCGGTCAAGAAGCAAGACTTATGTTTTCTGCTCTAGACTTATGGCTACCAAGGCATTTATGCAGCCGTTGCATTTGAGGTTGCACTATAAGATTGTCTGCATGTAAAGTTTTCACATTTTTTGGTTGATGTATTTTTAGCACTGCGTTGCATATCAAGTTCCATAGTAGTAGGTCTAAAACCGAGTCTCAGAAATTGTAATTAAATTTCCATTTCAAAACTGTCTTTAATTACTATACCAAAGATGAGGGCAATCTGTCAACCAATTATCTTACGATAGCTGCTTAAGTCTATATACCATAGTAATGCGTTAAGATTTTTAGAATGGATAAAACTATGGAAAAAATAATTTGTTTTAAATTTTGTATTTGTAACCAAACTTCCATAGCTAAATTATTTCGAATGTTGAATAGTGCATACGGTGATTAGATGCATGGAAAGATTTGGTAATCAAATGATTTTAGTAGATAGTTTGGATAAGAAACGCATTCTTGCTCGACGCGTCCCAATAAATCATCAATCCTCAATATTTTTCAAAAAGAGTGCGATTGTGACTAATGACTTTCAACTATCAACCACCGTATTCACCGGATTTGGCTACGTGTGATTTTTTCTTGTTCATCAAACTAAAATTGCCGCTCCTTTTAACCCATTTTCAGTCGAACGAAGATATAAAACAAAATTGGCTGAGACAGCAGATGGCTATCCCAAAAAGTGCTTATGAAAAGTGTTTCGAGGACATAAATATTGATAAGTAATTCAATATTTCTCGTTTTATTTACAATTTCCGGGTGCTTTGTCGCAGTATATATATGAACTAGAGTTTCAGTTTTTGAGGTATTGGCTAAAACTTTGCACATGTCCATGTTTTTCTTTTTTCTAAGAAGCTGCTTACTTTTTAAAATCGCCATTATCAGACTGCTATAGCAAATATAAACTGAATTATCGAAATCGAATTCCGGTATCGAAAACTTTTTTATTTGACGAGGTATGCATTATTACCTAAAACAGCGGAATAGCTTNAATAAAATTTGTGCAGTTTTTGGACCCGATACAGTTTCCATTTCCACCCCACAACGATGGTTTCAACTTTTTCATTCTGGTGTAGAGGTGGTCGAAGATGCGCCACGCTCCGGAAGGCCTGTCGTCGAAAATTGCGATAAAATCGCTGAACTGGTAGAAAAAGACCTGTATAGTAGCAACCGTAGCATCGGTCATGARGGCATGACATCAAAAAAAATTTTAATAACAATTGAAAATTCAATAGAAATACCGCAAGATTTTTTTGACAACCTATTAGATTTCCTCAACACAAAATGTAAGTTATTTCGTTCGTCTAGTTGCAAACATTTTTAGTCGCATATTTTTCGGCTATTAAATGTGGGGAATAGCTGCACAAGTGTATATGTAAAGGGCACATCCCTATTTTTTTATTTCTTTGCAGAAGTAGTGTGTGGAACCTTAATCCGCCAACTCCCATCTCATTTATCCCCCTCGGAAGAGAGAGGAAAATAAGACATTCACGTCTCTTCTATTATACGAACTGACTGACGCCTAATTTGTTGTAGATATCTCAATATTATCATAATTAGGGCTGCCGCTTCGCTGACAGCTTTCCATTTTATAGTGGACTTACAAATTTTCCACCGTGAGACTACCACCAAGTGATGTGTTCCGCTTTTTTCTTATATTTGAAAACCGACGGCAATGATAGAGTACATGCTTAAAGTCTTCTATACACTCTGTATAAGTGTGACAATATGAACTAAAGTCAATATGACATTTGTATGTGTAGCTTCCAACCCACTCATGGGCACTGAGTATTTTGGTCAACATGCAAAAAAACAAAAAAAAAAAAAAGCTTTGCAAATGTGCTTTTCTTCCATGTCATCTTCTGTTACGCTTATTATTCGACGAACTTGATCTAATGTGGAATGTAGAGATCTAAATCCAAATTTAATAGCTTTAAATAGCTTCAACAAAATAGGAAACAGTGAGATTGGACGATAAGACAAGGCTTCAAGTGCGATTTATCCAGGTTTATGTATCCTAACGGTTTCAAATACCTTAAATAATATAGGGACGTATCTGGGATTTAAACATACGTTTATTATCGATGTAAGCTTTGCTTGAACTTACAACAGCTCCCAAAACACGTTTTTTCTTAGACKGTCAAACTACATGTGCGCTTCAAACAAACACTAAGCTTTTCTTGACCTATTAATAGAGCATAAATAATACCAAATAAATATACGTATGCAAGTCGATAACAATATGCATTTGGTATGTCTGTGTTTACATATGATTTCCCACGAATTCGACCGCTGAAAGTAAGCCATCCATCTTAATGAACTTAATTTATGCTTTTATTGCCTTTAACTCCAAAGAAAGGCACTCACACTCTACCTTAGCTGATTCATTGAGAGACTCAGGACGGCCAAAAGGAATCTGATGTATGTATACTAAGATTTATAAATACACTTATATTTATATTCATCAACATATGATAGRCATGACTACGGAGTACTGGCTAATAAAACATTCAACTATTAAACTAAAGGTAAACAAACAAATTTTACATGAATTTTCTTCTTTTTTTCCTTTTCCTTCCTTACTAACCAACCAACACATATGCTTTCACATATTCACATGTGGCCAATGTCCTCGGGAACACCATGGAAAATTCATCACAACCACTTGCACGGACAAATAAACAAATCGGCACCCGCCGCCCACCTATACGCACCTGTACAAATTAAAATACGCAAATACAAATAAACAAAAACCAACTAATGACCGCACGTGCATATGAATTCGTGCGTCTTGCGGCCTACGTACTATCTGCTAATATGAAAATAAATRGGTTGTGTCGAACGGGTTGAYACGTCTCGAATTATGCTTTACCCACACGCAAACACTCACCTCGCGTTCCTGGTTATTTTGATCCATTTCCTAGATTGCGTGGCTGCGCGTCGACACACAAACGATACTGACGATACAAAATCACGTTATAACGAAAAATAACCGAATGAGCATAACTCATGCTGAGAAGCGTGCATGGATATTGAGAATACGTGATGTCAAGGAAGCGGATAAAGGCTGGTATATGTGCCAGATCAATACGGATCCGATGAAGAGTCAAGTTGGTTACCTGGATGTTGTGGGTGAGTACGAAAAACTGATGATATGAGKYAGACATGTCCACAAATTATATTATMAATATTCCTTAAATTAAATTTAAGTTAATGGAATATATACATTAAGGTTTATCACTTAAAAATTTAGTTTTATTTTTTCGAACATACATGAAACTTTTCTTACTCTTAGCTTCAATTTTAAGTA